TCTAATACTAATAACCTTCTATTTTCTAATTTAACCCAATCCTTAAGCCAGTTTACTATAGCAGCATCATAATATAATTCAAAATCTGGAAGGCCAAATCCTCCATTTTTCTTGGCATCCTGTAATAGTTTATATTTCACTCTGGGTTTTTTCCTCTGCCATATAAATTTAGATATACATTTGTTTAATTCTACAAAAAAGTTATTTTCCAACTTGACTGGCACTGTCTGAAACAGGAACAACAGTTTTGGTAAAATATTCATTTTTACTGTCGAAATACGTCCCAATAACAATAACTGCAGTTTGGCCCAATTAATCTTTAACTATTTGCATTATTAACTTATCATAGTTATCTTTTTTAATCGACGGACATCTAGCAGTCAACCAGATCCCTAAGTATTTTACTTTATTTACCACCTGCATACCTAATTTATTTGCTAGTTTTTCCTCCTGCTCCTTTGTACAGTTTTTTTGTTAACACTTTTGTTTTTTCTTTATTAATTTTTAACCCTGCCACCTTTCCATATTCTTCTATTTCTCTTAGTAGTATAGGGCTCGTTTCTAAGGGTTCTTCTAATAAAAATGCCATATCATCAGTGAATTCCTGGAGTTTATATTCCTCTTTTTAAATGTTTAGTCCTCTAATCTCTTGTTTTTGCCTAATTTGTGCTAAGAGAGTTTCTTCTGCCAATATATACAATAGAGGAGCTAGGGGGCAGCCTTGTCTTACTCCCTTATTTATCTTTATGGTATCTGTGTTTTCCCCATTTATTAATATTTTTACGGTTTGCATGTTATAAATTGTCTTAATAAATCCTATAAAATTTTCACCAAATTTCATGCCTATCAGTTGTTTAATAAGGAAGTTCCAATTGTCAGGTTGTCAAAAGCCTTCTGGGCGTCTAAAAATATCAATACCATTGTCTTGGTTGAGTGTACTTCATAATATTCTAATATATCCATAATGGTTCTTGTATTTGTTTTTATTTGCCTATGGGGGAGGAAGCCATTTTGATCAGTGTGGATAATTCTACTTAATACTCTCTTTAATCTTTCCGCCAATATTGTAGCCATTATTTTGTAATCTACATTTAAAAGTGATATTGCTCTATAGTTTTGAATTTTTTGTGGGTCTGATTGTTATTTATAAATGAGGGTAATATATGCTCCCAATCATGATTTAGGCATGTTAGCATTCTCCAGGGCTTCATTGTACAAGTCCACCAATATCTCCTCTATTATTTCTTGGAATTCCTTATAGAATTCCAAAGGAATTCCATCTGGGCCAGAGGTCTTATTTGCTTTTTGTGTTCCAATTGCCTTCCTAATTTCTTCTATAGATATTTTATTATTCAAATTTTGTTTCTCTTCACCAGTAATTTCAGGCAGGTTCTTTTCATTCAAATATTGATCAATAAATTCTTCTGGTATTTCTTCCTTTTTATACAATTTCATAAAAAATTCCAATTTCTTTCTTTTCTTGGGTCTGCATGCATAATTTCCCTTCCTGATCTTGGAGAGCTACGATCATTCTCTTTTCTTGTTCTTTTTTAATTTTATGGGCTAACCACCTCCCTGGCTTATTTGCATTTTCAAAATAATTTTGTTTTGCTAATTTAATTTTTCAGGCCAAATCTTCCTGTACATTTACATTTATTTTATGTTTTACCAGATCAACTTCTTTCTTAATGTTTGAATTGTTTGGGTCCTTTTGTCTACTTATTTCCAAATCTTTTAGTTTCTCCCTCCATATGTTTTGTTGCTGTCTTTTTTCTTTATTCTTTTTAATACTATAAGCAATAGTTAAACCTCTCACATAGGCTTTGGCACCTACCTCCTGCGAGACTGGCTAAGATATTTTCACATGTGGTGGACTTGCCCATGTGCTCAGAAGTTTTGGAGAAATATTAGAAATTGGATTTTAAATATAACAAAACAAAATTTAAAACTTGAACCCGAAACCTTTCTGCTAAGTATGATAGATTTAAACATGGAGAAAAAATATCAATATTTAATTTTGCACATCATAACTGCGGCCAGAATAACCTATGCACAAAACTGGAAACTGTCTTTCATTCCTTCAGAGGAGATGGTAATTAAAAAAAATACATGAATGTGCTGAGATGGATAGCCTAACCAAACTGTTAAAAAATAAACAAGATAGTGACTATTATGAAATATGGAACATTTGGTATGATTGGTTAAAGAAAAGGTAATATTTGATATTTGGATAAGTTATGGAAATGACAGAAGATGTGCATTTAATTATAAACTATATAGAGAAATCAAAACATTAAAAGAACGAAGGAGTTATTGTAACAAGGTAGATCACGTCAATGATAAAGATAAAGAAAAAAAAAGTTAACCCTTGTTCAATATACGCTGTAAAATGTATATGTGTGTGTGTGTGTGTGTGTATGGTATTCAGCTTTGTTCGGGTATTTTCCCACGTCATTGTAGTTGTGCTTTTAAAGCTGTAGCAATGTTTTGGCAGAATCTCATCTGCCATCATCAGGCTTCTGTATTGTGTTCGTCGACGACGGACCAACAGATGGACACAATACAGAAGCCTGATGATGGCAGATGAGATTCTGCCGAAACGTTGCTACAACTTTAAAAGCACAACTACAATGACGTGGGAAAATACCTGAACAAAGCTGAATGCCATATATATATATATATGTTGATTTGTCTGTTTTAAATGTATGTCAAATAAATGTTTAATAAATAAATAAATAAATAAATAAAATAAATGGTCTTGGACTAAATAAAACTGACTGCTTCAAGCAGAAACTTACAGACTTTTGGAGTATGATTTGAGCTGATTGACATAACAAACTATTATGCCTGCCCAAGTTGAGAGAAGTAGAGGAAAAGAAACATACTCTGGGTTAAAGGATGTGGAGTCAAAATCTCTAGTTGACCTTGGAAATACTATGGGCTATAACTCAGTACAAGTGGAAATTATATCATTTGTCCATCTAGTCACCAGGAATCAGGCCCAATAGATACATAGCTCTGAAGGAAAGGAAAACAGTTAAATATGCTTTGCAGTATTGTATAGGAAACTCAGACAATGTCTTATTTGGAGAATATGTCAGATTTTACCAGAAGTCATGGAGAATTGCAGGAGGAGTGAAAACTGTGTTATATGCACTATATATTTTCCTTAGCCTTATTTGTTGCCAGTGTCATACAAAGTATTTTGGAAATAATAGTTGATTTCATTATTAATTAATTATAATAAAAAAAATTAAGTGAGGTTCAATGTGCCTTTGGATATTTTACAATATGGATGAAGATTTTTAGAGTTTAAAAAGAATGTATCATTTCATAGTATAGTTTCTCTCATGTTTTAGAGACAATTTAATTCCCAAATGACTTCACTTAGTGATGACTATTCAGTTTGGAAATGTTCTGTATTTGTTTAAAACTCATTAATCTGCCAACATTTTAATATCTCACTGAGTTGCAACTATAGTCAGTTGCCAAATTGAAATTCTGGGTCATCGGTTGCTTAAATTTTCATAAGATAGTAAATCATTCTTTGTATAAGTAACAGAGTTTGCAAAGAGCCCTTTCATGGTTTTTTTGTTTCTCCACATGGAGCCATTGCTACCCAGCAATTATATTAAAAAAGTGCTGCATTTGAGGTTTTGATTATGTATTGAATGATATATAGTTAATTAATTTCCAGGATCTTAATGCTGCACGCAATTCTGCAGAATTTCAAAAACATATTCCACTTTGTAGCTGCTGTCACAAAATATATTTGAGCAAAAATAGGTTATAAAATTGTGCTCTATATACTGTGTGAATATCTATCTGTCTGTCTTCCCCAGATGCAAAACAGTAACTGGTGGTAAACGTTATTGGAATGGTTTTGAGTAAATGCTAGTACTGGTACAGACACACACACACACACACACACACACACACAAATGGCTATCATCTTTGGTGTTTTTTCTCTTCTTCAAGTTTTTTTAAGATATAGCCAACATTTTCCTTTTTCCATATTCATTTTCAAGCAGAAATGAATACTGTCTGAAAATTCATGCCCAGATGTCATGGGAAAAGGAAGATGAGATAATTTAAAAAGTAAATTAACACATTATGAATGGCAAATGTTGGATTCTCTGAGATCTCCTAGTCCTGTTAATGACAAATCAGCAGGCTAGAAGTATGAGACAAATAAAACTTTCCATGCTTCTTTTTCTTAATGTCTGGAGATTGCTATCTTGACTATTGGCTCAAACAAGCAAAAACTATGGAACTGTGCTATGAATTGTAGAGAAGTGAAACACCAAGTAATTTTGTATAACATAATGAACTAATTGATGGGAAAAGCTACCATGAATGTGAGAATCTGTGTTTGAGAAAAAGCATAATGCAGGAAATGTGGCCAGGATTTGGTAAAATGAAGCAGCTAAACCAAAAGATGACTTTAGCATCTCTATCTATAAACTGCAAGACTGACAGGCAGGAAACCCAAATATATCTGATAAACACTAGAAAACAAATAAATACAGAGTATTGGTGACATGAGTACCAGCTAGATGCCACAACACACTTTATTCTTCTAAGTAACAATTTGGCTAGGGTCAGTGTTTTTATGATTTCTCCCAAATTTTCCAACATCTAAGGCAGGGGTTCCCAACCTGGGGTGCTCGCACCCCCTGGGGGTACAAGACGATATTCCAGGGGGTGCGAGAAAAGTCCAGGTAAATAATAGGATATTGTCTATATGTTGGCATTTTTATTTCAGGAGGTGCGAGGTTCGAGTGAAATTTCTTTAGGGGTGCGGAGCGACAAAAAGGTTGGGAACCACTGATCTAAGGTATAAAGTCAACAATACCTTGAAAACATGGAAAGATTACTTTAAAAAAATCTACAGTACTCATTTTTTCCCTCAGTTTTCAGCATCTCCAGAATCCACCCCCCTTTTTTAAAGAAAAAGCTTAAACTTTAACATTTTTTGCCTATGCATATCTGATTTACAGCTGTTGACCGTGTAGTGAATCACTGTTTGATGGGTTCGCACACATGTGATATCCCGCAACGTGCCCGCTGCATCTACTCCGGTGGATCTTCTTATATCTGTGCATGTATTCCGGGGTTTTCTGGAGATGGACGTTCCTGCATAGGTGAGGGATAGCATTGTTCCCTTTCCTCTTTGTTCCTTTTGGTCTTTATGCAATTCTGTTGCATGCTAATTGTGTTCAATCCTTTTATCATAATGTTTTTTACATGCTGAAGAAAACTTTTTTTTTAAAGTGAAATGAACCAAAAGAAACTTTTTTTAATTGCTGGGGCCCAATAGTCTACAATTCATATTTTTAAAAAGTTATTTTTATATTAATATTTTGAAAGCAAATGTGAGCAATGCTATGCAAGGAAAGTTTGTATTAAAATATTATTAATTACAAATATATCTTCAGAAATTCTAAAAAGGCAGAAATAACCAATTATTAAGAGTATGCACTTATCAAAAGTTCACAGATTCCATCTAGAATATTCAGGATTTGCATGCAAATAGCAAAGACTAACAATTATAAAATAATCTGGTTGAGAATATCATGCTATTACTAGAAATGCATATTTTATGTTGATGGAAAAAATTACATTTTTCTCTAATATTTGAATCCCATTGAATTTACTGTGCCATTGACAATTTATTCATTTATATATCTAAATATGAGATGCATGAGATACTGGTGTATTCCAACTTTGTATATTTTTTCCTCTTTAAAGCACCTTAATTGTTGATTAAGATAGTTACAACTATCTTGGAACCATTTAGCATGCTCTCAATCTATGTGCATAAATGTTGCTTGTGAATTATCAAAAAAATAATTTGATATTTGATTCAGTAGGCACTGTGTCCTGATTCACTGCACAGAAAGGAGCATGGGGTTGCAGACTCAAATATTTTGCAGAGAATTTACAATAAGATACTGCATGGAAGAGCCTTAAATTCTGTATTCTTCTTCTCTTATAAAAATAATAGATGTAGATGAATGTCAATCGAACCGTTGCCATCCAGATGCTGACTGCTACAACAGTCCAGGGTCCTTCAGCTGCCAATGCAAAGCAGGTTATCATGGAGATGGCTTCCACTGTGTATCACAAGGTAAACCTTCAGAATAATGTAAAACATTTTTAAAGTACAGATGCTAAAAGAGTAGTTCCATGGAATAGAAAATGGGCAGCAATTACGTTTTGCATACTGTGACTAATCAAGCTTTGATTAAGGTATAATTATTTGATACTGCTTTTTTGCTCTTTTTTCAGATCTGTTGTTGTCTGTTCCAAATTATTGCTCCTTGTAGTTAAGAAAGTGAAATGACAGCCATCCAGTTCTGATATATATAGCTGTAAGATAGAACTACAAGGTCATATTCAATACTTCTATTACCTTTTTTTTATAGTTTTTCAATATTATTACAGCTGTAATATTTTAAGACAGCTTTCTGCATCTTTAAACTTAAGCAACAATATTTATTGTACAATGCAGAAATTATTTTCATTTAGCAAATTCATTCTTTGAAGAAGTTGTAGAGTTTTGCATCTCTTCAGGATATAGCCAGTTTGCCAGTAAAAGAGGTACTGAGGTAAGAGTAGTGCTCTAAAAAGTACTAAGTACTAAGAGTGTCTATAATTCATTATATCCTCACACTCCATTGTTTGATTTCAAAAAGAAACAGCTGTCTGAATTCTGACACCCCTTTTTCTTCATGGACTTTATTTACCATACAGAAACAAACTCAGACACTCTGGCTAGAGGCTATTATCACTACGCATCATTCAACAACTGTTAAAGTATGTTGTACTTCACAAATGAAATGAATTGCTGGTAAAAAAAAGTTTTGCATTATATTGGTAATGCTTTGTAACAGAAATAAAACTGAATGGATTTCAAATATAACTTCCTAATATTGAAGGGTTAATTAACTTTCCTTTGAACTTCTCTTAAGAATATCACTTTAAAATGACATGTTGCCTCCCAGAGCTATGAGAAGGAGGATTCATCTTACAGCAATCTAACTCCACCTGATATCCTCCAGAAGGGTTGGATTACATCTGTAGAATATACAGTTAGGCTGCTAGGATCTTTTCATCTAAATACCTTCAGGGCACACATAGTTAAGAGCATAGGAATAGACTTACTGGATCTCTATCTGTCTTGAGTATCTTCACAGTTCAAATGTTTTCTGCATTTAATTTATTCAAATATATTATTTACAGCTGTGGAAAAAATGACCATTGGTTTTATTCTGCTCCCCCCAAAACCCAAAAGAAACCAATGATAGTTTAGACACACTATTCCTCCAGAAAAAGAGAAAGGGTAAAGACATAAGCAAGGTACTGCTGGATTGGTTTTCTGATGCATTGAGCCCAGCAGTCTGTTCTTACAGACTCCATGAGGAAGCCAGCAGATGGCCTTCAGAAACTGTCACACAACGACGAAAGCTAATAACCATTGACCCCCATGACTTCCTTGTGTAGTGAATCCAAAGTTTAAATGCATATTGTGTAAAGAAAAAAGAAGTTTGTATCCCTTCACTGCAATTCTAAACATACAGTGAGTACAATAATCTAAAATGACAGATCATCAGCCATTTTTGGTTCGATCTGTATGGATTCCAGCTGATTTTGAAGAACTCGTGTGGGTAGAATACGGGCTTGGGTAACTGACCTAATAGAAATAAAATTAAAGAATTTTTACATTTTCTTCTTTTTATTACAGAAGTAGAGAAGACCAAATGTCAAAGAGAACAAGAACAAATTCTGGCTTTGGGCCCAAGAGGACATAGGCCAATTGGTCAATTTATTCCCCAATGTGATATCTATGGGAATTACTTGCCAACCCAGTGCCATCCTAGCACTGGCTACTGCTGGTGTGTAGACAGAGATGGTAATGAGATGGATGGTACTAGAAGTGGCCCAGGTATCCAGCCTCCATGTAAGTTGCTTCTAAGTTAATAAGTTAGTGCAATAATTTTTCTTCATGTAGATTTTGCCTTTCTTACTTATAACTCAACTGAGAAGTATGAATATGTACGAATTTGATATATTTGCAGTTATTTGTATATCAAAGTTCTGTGATTAAATGAAAGGTACATTTATACTATAAATGTGATTTGAATTATCTGGTTTTATTTTATAATTTGTATTTCCAATAATAGAAACTGCAGTAGAATATAAAACATTGCCAGCATGAAACATTTTGGATACATTTTCCAGTCAATACTGCATTTTACCCTAGTTCAGTGTTTTCCAGCCTTAGCAACTTTAAGATGCGTGAACTTCAACTATCAGAATTCCTCTTGGAGTTGGAGTTCCTCTTGAAGCCCACACATCTTAAAGTTGCCAAGGTTCAAAAGCAATTCCCTGGTTGGTAACAGAAAATGAAAGCATAGGTCCCTGCTACAAACCACAATGATGAGACATGTATTGACACATCACATATCAAACGCTGATTCTTTGGCCTTGCTTGCTGATGTCAGACACAAACATGTAACACATGTGATGTTTATTGAGATATCATAATGCACATTTCATCACTTGATTCCCTGTGTTTTCCCCAGGGATGTCTGAGAAGTGGACGTTGGTTGGGGAAAAGCGTGCTTCTTGGTTATTCTGGGTTGTTGGATGATTTTAATATTGTTAGTAATGCATGATTGAGATCACAGAGATGTAACTTTGGACCTAAAGTTTATTGCTTTGTGTGTGTGTATGTGTGTGTGTGTATAAATCAATCAATCAATCAATCATCAACTGTAAGAGAAATAAAATAAGTTTTCTGCCAGGATTCTGGCAGTTGCCCTAATTAAATCATAAGCCTCGAGCCAAGCTTTAAAACTTCAAAGGATTTATTAGGAGTGACCATGTCAGCACGACTTGTATGTAGCCAATTCTGAGACACATAATTCACTGTCACCCTTGACCCTGGTTTCCCCCCCACCCCTCTGGGTGTATCATAATTCATGTTCTCCAATTAGGAATTTGCACAGCAGAAACTCTGGTAGCTTAGTTATAATCTTTGCAAGATAAGAATGGAATGCACGTTCGATTTTAACTGCTGCACTGCTCTTTCAAATTCTCTCCCCCTTCTGTTCATGGCAAATCTAAAAGAAGGCATAGAAATGTTTTATGAGTTGACATTTTCAGGACTGTACATGAATATGTGGATTGGCTACCTTTGTTTTTTAATGGCTGCATCTCTTAAGCAAGAATAATATGCAATGAACATTTATATGCTAGAGGGTTGTACGTGTGCATGTTTGATGATGCGTGTATACAGTGGTATAATCATGATTAAATTTTGTATTTAGAATCTGATCACTTTTTGTGGTGGAGACATGCATTGCAATCTGCGACTAGGGCAGCTAAGGTCATTGGACCTAAATCTCAAATAACAATGCACCAAATTGCAGTCTCTTGTTGTATTTATTGTAGCAATGCCTTAAATGTGCTAAACTGCGAGACTTATACAGTATCAGTAAGATTACCTGGCCTTGTAGATATGGTAAGTTTTGTCTTTGAGTAACCTGATAATATGTGTTTTATATTATTGGTCAATAAGGTTTGGGCACAGTTGCTCCTCCTGTTACAATTGGACCCTCGGTAAAACCAGATGCAATTCCCCTGCCTCCAGGAAGCCACTTACTCATTGCTCAGAGTGGGAAGATTGACCATGTCCCTCTGGAGGGGAATGTTATGAAGAAATCAGATGCAAAAGCTTTGCTGTATGTACCAGTAAGTATACCAAAAACACGATACATTTCTTGACTTTTTACATTTTCTCTATAATCTATTGTTTTTATTCTAATCTTCAAAACCGTATATTCTTTTTTTTTCTGTTTCTCACAAAAAACAAGGAGTTTCCAATCATCCTTAAATCTTAGACAGTGTCCTATCTCTAATTAAAGCAGTTATCTCAGCAAGTTCTAACTTCTTTGTTATCCATTTCTCTACTTCTATGGCGTGAAGAATGCCTCTCCAGTCCACGGCTAGGAGCAATTGTATATTGAATGGCTAGACTTAAGCTTGTGTCTAGTATATTTTTTTAAACCCCGATCTTAAAAAAATATGTGGCATGCATTTTTATTTGTAATTTGTAGTTAAAGGCAGGGATCTCATAAAATGTTTCTGAAGCATTGTATTTTATATGTTTCCTTGGTTCTGAGATAATCAGGCCAAACTTTTACAAACAAATTTACTCTATGTGGAGCTTTTAATTAAAGCTAATTTTTATTAGCTTTCTAAGCAAGTCTGGGTCTCCAATAAAGTTTCCATTGTTTGGGACTCTTGGAGTTTAATTGCCTTTGTAGATAGCTATAAAAATTTATGGGACATATAAGATCCTTCCCAAGTACTTCCTTTCTTGATTTCTACATTTCTACTGTAAATATTATAATTGCCTGATAATTTCCTATAAAGTGGTCAGTGTCTATATTCTGTCACAGGTTTTTTTTAATCTCTTCTCAATGTCTGAACTGAATATTTCCCTAATCTCCCATTTTCTTCTACAATTACTCTGAGTTTCTTGCTGTGTAGTAAGGTCTTAATCATTTAAAATACTTTAGATCCTCTGAATGGGTTGTTTAGCATTGTATTTTTTTTTTTGAAAAGGTAATAGAAATCATTGATCCTGCATGTTCAACCAAAGCTGCATTTTCCCTTAATTCCCAGTACTCTAATTATACACTCATGCCACATTTGTACATATCTTTTTTTTTAAGTTGAGAGGCTAATTAAATAGTGCCAGGAAATTTGGTTGATTGTAGTATTATTTCAATGACAACAGGTGTTAGAATGACAAATGTGGATATGGAGAAGAGAGGAAGAGCAATATAAAGATAGTAACTTCAAGTCAGCTAAAGGACAGAGTACTAAAGCGCAAAGATTGAGGGGAATCGATTTTTATGCTCAAATTAATATTAATTAGAATAGTTATTCTTTCATGACTCTGTATTCTGATTATTTCCAGAAGTCTAATCTATCTATAATTTGTATTTGGTACTCAAATATAGGAACCTGCCTTATAAAGGGTCAGACAATTGACTTCACACATTCTAGCAGATGGCGACACTTAAAGATTTTTTGAGATTTGAGATTTGACGTTGAGATTTTTCATAGCTCTGATGAAATCCTTTTTAACTGCACAGAGCAGAAATTTGGAGCTTTTGCATGCCACTGAATAAAAATCTTTCCTTAAAAGAAAAAAATATTGAATATTATGTCTTAATTACGATTATTAAGTGGTTCGGCGACATTTTGTTTTCAAGCTGTAGGGTTGGATTTTAGAAATGGGAATGGAATAAACATAGCCCAGTGTGAATTATTAGGTAGAATAGTTCAACTGTTCTATCACTTCATTCTTTTTAGCTGGGATTACAGGGGTGGTCCCAAGATTTAGGTGACAACTTATTTCTTTTCTATTGCTGCAATGCAATTTGTTTCTGATCTTGGGTATTGCCTTAAGCCAGAGGGCAGCATTAACCCATCTGGACTGATTCCTAAATGCTAAACAAAAACAGATTTGATTAGAACTAGGATATAAGGCTTTAACCTTTGAATTTCCTCACTAGTCTCTTACTATCCATTGTAGAATTTTCAAGCCATTAAATTCTTAGCCATTTCTTTAGCATTACAAATGTGATATGGTAGTTTGTAATGGTTTGTCTAAAACGCAGGATAAAGTTGTTATTGGAGTTGCTTATGACTGCTTGGAGAAGATGGTTTATTGGACAGATATCAGCAGCCCATCCATCAGTAGAGCAAGCCTTGGTGGAGGAGAGCCAGTATCCATCATAAAGACAGGTAGGAATTATAGATTTCCTTCCTCACCATGTCACACTGAACTCAATGTATATTTCCAAAGGTGGGAGATGATTTTCTGCACATAACATTTAGTCCTCAGCATAACCTCTCACAATATCTTGATAAAAAATTCAGCCCTATGCGGTAGGTTTGAAATTAGTGCACATTTGCTATTTTAAAAAAAATATTTTGGAATAAAACACTATTATGTACTGCATTTTTCAACTTTTGACAGTTTTCAATGTTACTTATTTTAGTATTTAACAGGCAAATGAAGACATATAATTATATGTAATTTATTTCATTAAAGTGATGTGTATTAAGCTAGTTTTGTTGTAGTATTTCACATGTCATTTTGATTGCATCTATTGCTACAGGGGCTTATTTTATTATCCCTAATTTGTATGTACAGTGCAGCCCCTTTATATATAACTCAGAAGTAAATATCCCTGAGCTCAGTGAGATTTCTTGCCTAGAATGGAGGTTTCAAGCTCAATGAGAAAAAATAACCTACTGGCTGTTTAGAAGAATTCTTTAAAATGTATGTAAGGGCTGTGCCAATTGGATGAAGCTCTTCTGGCTCTCACAAGGCCACAGAGCAATAGCACAGCTGCCTCTGTGAAAGAGTTTTTACAGGGAAGTCAGCATTAACCCCTTCTAAGGCCTAATGAGTAGAAGTGGCTTTGCATATGTGAAATCCCTTTAAAACCTATATTCCATGTCAGTTGAGTAGCGTATGACCTTTATAATCATCTGCTCAAGTTAACGGCTGCAGAAGGTACCCCATGGGGAGAAATGCAGCATTGTGCCCTAACCTTCAACTCCTTTCCATTCTTGCATAATTCCAACATTACGATCAAATGGGGGAACTGTTATAAATGTCATTGCATTAAAGCATGACTGGATTATGCCTGACTGATTATGAGGTGGTCTGATAATCAAACAGCAATCAAATTTTGTAACATTATTTGAAGAATTACATACTGTAATAAGTGTTTTGAAATGGTTACATCCATTTCTCTAACTGTGTGTGCAGAATCAAATAACTTCGTGGCTTTTACTGGCTTGTTTAATCAACTAGAAACTTTTCATCACAAAACATAGGTTTGAAAACCTAAAAAAGAAAAGAAAAAAAAGTTCAGTATTTAAAATAAGAAATGGAGTAGGGAGCCGGAGCTGGGTTTTATACATAAATGATAGTGTTAATATTTTTAACAGGCAGACTGCTGTATAGTTAAAAAAAAGTTGTATAACATTAATTTAAAAACAGAATGTGCTTACGGTCTTGGCCTAAATTGTGGTCAGTCTCTTTTGAACAGAACAAAACCCTTTTTGAGCAGAAAAAAATCCAGCACAGTTGAATGAACATTGAACTTTTAAAAAGATGTCTACACTCAATATGTCTTTGTGATTATTCCTTGGAGCCAGTGTAGAGGTTATCATCTGCTATTTCCTGTTGCCTTGGGCCTGGTCACTGTCCAAGAAAAACTAGTTACGTACTTTTTTTAGGAGTTCTTCTAAAGCTGAAATCTCTTTTCCAAAATGATCAGCTGCTTGGAGCTTTAAATTTTCTTCTGATGACTAATACTGATCGATTTTTAAAAGTTCTCAAAATAGGTGCTTCTCTGCTTTTCAGTCAATAGTTTAAAATCATAGTATTTCACCTCTATCAGAAAAGTCCGTATTTTTTGTTGACAATACTTAAGTATTTATAAGTTTGCCCCAATTTTGTTTCTTTTACTAAAAAAAAAATGCAGACTTTGTCATATTTGTGAAAATATACAGGCACCTTATGTAGATATTTCCTTGTAGATGTTTCTATGGAATGAACCTATTTGTTTTAATTAGAATGTTAAAAGTCACAATATGAAAAGTATTAATGGGTATAGTGCAGGGGTGAAATATTAAACACATCACTAATTACAGGGTCGGCAATCCCATATTGATCAAAAAGGACGCATCACTGGCAGAAGAATTAAACTGCTTCTTTGCCCGGTTCAAACTGAGTAGGTCTTCGAACACACTGCCTTTACAAACCACCGGTACTCAGCTGTTCACAGTACAAGAGTATGATGTGAAGCAGGTGGTTAGAGCAGTGAATGTAAAGAAGGCCGCTGGCCCTGATGGGGTACCTGGGAAAGTACTCAAAGCATGTGTTGACCAGCTCGCAAGTGTGTTTACAAATATTTTTAACCTTTCTCTTACACAAGCCATTGTTCCATCTTGTCTCAAAACTTCCATTATTATTCCAGTTCCCAAAAATCACTCTCCTGATACTTTAAATGACTATAGACCAGTAGCTCTCACACCCATAATTACGAAGTGTTTTGAGAGACTGGTCTTAAAATATATACAAAATTGCCTCCCATCAAACCTTGACCCACACCAGTTTGTCTATCGGAATAACAGATCCACAGAGGATGCTATTGTCATGGCTCTCCACGTTGCACTGAACCATCTGGAGCATAGTGGGAGCTATATAATACTGGAGCCTCTGTGGCACAGTGGTTAGAGTGCAGTACTGCAAGCTACTTCTGCAGCCCAGCTGCCTACAATTTGGCAGTTCAAATCTCACCAGGCTTCTGGTTGACTCAGCCTTCCAACCTTCCAAGGTAGGTAAAATGAGGACCCAGTTTGTTGGGGGCAGTAATGTTGATTCTGTAAACCACTTAGAGAGGGCTGGAAAGCACTATAAAGCGTCTAAGTGCTATTGCTATTGCTATATAAGTATGCTTTTCATTGATTACAGCTCGGCTTTTAATACCATCATTCCGGATATACTTATTAAGAAATTGCTAGAATTGGGCCTCTCTTCTCACATTTGCTGTTGGATAAAGGACTTTCTTACTCCCAAACTGTTAGGATTAACAGCTCCACTCTTGCTCTCAGCACTGGCTGTCCACAGGGTTGTGTGCTGAGCCCCCTTTTGTATTCACCTATGACTGCATTCCCTCTTGTCCCACTAACTCTATAATAAAATTTGCAGACGATACCACATTGGTGGGACTCATATCAGAAGAAGACAAAACCGTCTATAGGTCAGAGGTTTTCAGACTGGTCTTGTGGTGCAAATATCATAACCTCGCCCTGAATATCAAAAAGACCAAATAATTGATTATAGACTTCAGATGATGCAAAGCAGAGCCTCTCCCACTATATATCAATGGAGATTGTGTGGAAAGAGTTCATATTTTAAATTTCTAGAAACTCATATTTCCGACAACCTTACTTGGTCAGTCCACACTATGGCCACTGCAAAGAAGGCCCAACAGCGCCTGCACTTTCTGAGGCTGCTGAAAAAGAGTGGTCTGGGTGAGAAGTTGCTGGTTATTTTTACCATTCTACCATCGAGAGCATTTTGGCATACTGTGTCACGGTGTTGTATGCTGGATGCTCTGTAGTAGATAAGATGATGCTCCAGAGAGTTATAAACACAGCACAAAAAATCATTGGTTGCTCTCTTTCTTCTTTGGAAGAGATTGCGAAGACCAGACTCCTCTCTAGAGCACAAAAATATCTCCACAGACCGTTCTCATCCTGGTCATTCATATTTCGAATAGTTACCATCAGGGAGACATTATAGGTGTCTTAAAATGAGGACTAATAGACTGAGAAACAGTTTCTTTTCCAAAGCAATAATTGTCTTGAATCAAACAGTACATTTGTGATTTAGTTCTATATATAAAGTGGCATTTTAAAACTATCTAACTTAATATATGTTTTAAATAGGTTTTAGACTAGGTATTATTATTATTATTATTATTATTATTATTATTATTATTATTATTTTTAAATACTGTGTAGTGTGATTGTGATGCGGTGTTTGGGGCACTCTGCTGGAGTAGCTTTCAAATTTCATTGTACTTTGAATGCAATGACAAAGCATTCTATTCTATTCTATTCTATTCTATTCTATTCTATTCTATTCTATTCCCATTGTAACATTAGATGCCTCAAGCCCTCTTCAGTCGTTTGAGACCAAATATGGAAGGGAGATCTCTTGAACAAAATAAACTTCCTCAAAACCCAGGCATAACTTTGAATGTTAGCCATGCCCTTTGATCAATGTTTTCTTTTTATATCTCCTTCTTCAAGATTTGGAAAGTCCTGAAGGAATAGCCCTGGATCCCCATGGTCGTACTATCTTCTGGACTGATTCTCAGCTTGACAGAATAGAGGTAGCCAAAGTAGATGGCACTCATCGACGTGTATTGTTTGACACTGAGCTGGTGAATCCTCGAGCCATTGTTGCAGATCCTGTGAGGGGGTAGGGATGTATTAAATATCCTATTATTTTATTTACCATCTATTTCCTATTCCTTCAGCCCATGCTGTTTCAGTGCCTATATCAGGTTCTTTTCCCATGCTAAAATTATCAGTCCATAAATGTTATAGCCAAATAAATAAACATACTGAATTGTAGCTTGATATGATGCATGAATCACACAACAGTTTAGGGAGCAGCTTGGGGATTTCCTGTTATGTTTATTTATTTGAATTATGTGCCAGATATCTTGTCTAGAGGTGACCATGGGCAGTTTACAAAAATTAATATTGTATGCAAGCTGAAGTTGCCAGTATGAGATCCCGTTTTTTATGCAAATGATCTTAATTTGAAATCCAGTAGTAACTCAAGACTAGAAATGGGATGGAAGGGTATCTCACATCAGGTATAACTTGGTGAAACTAGAACAGTGTTGCATGGAACAGTATAGAAATCCAGTTGACTATATGAATTGTACAAGAAGTGGAAGAGCTCAGTTACAATAGCAAATGTATGGCCAGGGTCCGATAGTGGAACAGATCACAAATTGCTCATGTGCAAGCTTCAAGTCAAGCTAAAGTGGAAGAACAAAGCCAAGCAGTTTCACAATATGATCTTGACCCTCTATGCAATATTTTCAAGAAGATCAGGAGTTGCTTCAAAGTCCCAAGCCTCATTGAGAGAGAACTAGATGAACCGTGTAATGAAATTGAAGAAGTTGTCAAGGATGAATGTGAAATTGCCAAAGACTAAGAAAAAACAAGAATCTAAACTGAATGTCAGAACAGATGATGGAGATTGCCAAGAGAAGAGAAAGAATGTTTCAGGAAGGAAATTAACAATAACAACAACAGCCCTCAGAGAGATATTTAAAGAAACATTGGTTATAGAAAGGCATTCATTTGTGTGGATTATGCCAAACAGTGGAATTTGTCCTTAGGAAGATAGGAATCCCAGGTGAAATCTATATACAGGACAGGATGAAACATGAGAAAGCAGACTGACTCCAGATCAGTGAAGGGATGAGAGGTGCCTCTATATCTTGTGTTTATTTATTCAAACTATATGCTAAATATGGATTAAGGGAGGCTGTGCATGCACTAGTTTTAATTGTGGGTGTGCCAGCCTCACACTAACTGAATTTTGGCTTACAATAAACAAACCTGGTATCACTTTATAAATTGTAGTAAATTGAATATCCTACTACAGTACTTGAACTCACATTAATCACAACCTACCTTGTACAGCACACTAGTAAAATATTCTGAATTCAAATGAAAGCCTAAATTGAAAGTAGGGACAACCGTCTTGGTCCCATAGCATGCTACAAACCTAGCTGTAATTCTGGTGCAAAAAAAGAGGATTAAGCTATAAAATTGAAGAAAAATGTAGAATGGAAGAAGTATGCTAAATTAACAAATAAGGAGCAGTATAATATTTTTACTGCTGGGTATATAGTGCCTAGAATTTTCTAGCTACTGCAAAAACTTTCCATGTGTTTTGGTAAATAAGTGATTTTTTTAAAGGTCTGACCTTTTTTCCTTGGGAAAAAAAGCTGTATTCACACAAAAAGCTCACTGACCATTCACTGAGCCATGGGTTTAGCCCAAATTTTAGTTTCCCACAACATACTGCCTGAGATCATGCAACATGCTAAACCAGGGGTCTTCAAATTTGATAGCTTTAAGACTTGTGGACTTCAACTTCCCGAATTCCTCCTCCTCCAGTTATGTTAGCTCAGGAATTCTGGGAGTTGAAGTCCACAAGTCTTAAACTTGCCAAGTTTGAAGACCCCTGTGCTAAACACACTAAAATCTAACCATGAATTAATATCACACAACTGGTTAAATGTAATATGCTGTGTCCTGTTTTTCTTTTAAAAACGTGATGTTTTAACTTGTCACTTAGTATGCTGATGTAATCGCCGTTTCCTTAGGCTATGCTGAACTATAAATTACCCAACTTCATTCAGATTCAATGTGATGACCCAGGGTGGGATACAAAACAAACACAGTCACAGAAAACAGGTGAAGCCCCTTTTATTCCTTCACTTTGCTTCCAAGCTCTGAATATCCTTGACTGAAGACAAAAAAACTCCCACACAAACAGTTGCACGAAGAAGGAAAAAAGCAACACAAACCAGGCTGGAGGATGTCTACAGATAACCCACACTGGGAAGGACACCAAACTCAAAGAGGAACTATAAACTAGAAATATTTACACTCTTTGTTTCTAGCATTTGCCAGTACGCAGTCCATACTCTTATTCAGTTGTCACAGCTGCAGTCCATGAAGAGGATCAAGGCCCTCTCCTCCTGAGTAGACCACAACTCTCCCTTATCCTCTCCTCTCTGCATGCCCTAGGATGGATAGGGGATGGGCCTGGGTCCTCCTCTGACTGCTCAGCCGGCCTCTGCCTTTCCCCAGCCTCCTCCACAACCTCCAGAGCCACACTTCCACTCCCTGTCGGCTGTTCCTCCTCTCCCTCAGAGTCAGTCTCCACCAGAGGCATGACATTCAATGTATAAACTAATTAATTGACTTGAATTTGCACAGTGCCTTAGATTAAAAAGTGATTGAGTGATTGGAGGTTCACTGTGTTATATAAATAGCAGGTTAATCTTGAATGTTATAATATCTGTGATAAATTATTATATAATAAAATGAAGAGGGATCTACTGTGCAAAGGTACAATCTCCCCTAAGTCAAGCTTGACTCCTGTTGCCTTAATGGAAATATCCATGTAATTTTATTAGAAATAATACTACATAATACCAATGCCCTCCTTATGCACAATTGCATTTATTTATTTGTATATGTGTCTTTATCAATACACTCAGAAACCTTTATTGGACAGACTGGAACAGAGAAGCTCCTAAAATCGAAACCTCCTATATGGATGGTACCAACAGAAGAATTCTTGTTAAGGATGATTTGGGACTGCCAAATGGGCTGACACTTGACACCTATTCCTCATTGTTGTGCTGGGTAGATGCAGGTAAAGTCTTACACTGTAGAATGAATTAAGCTTATGAAATAAATGAACAGCTGGATGCTAAAATATCAAGGTGTAGTCATGATAGTGCTACTTCTCAGTACTCAACAATTACTGCTACTTGTCTTTTTCTATTTCACAATATCAGTGGTTTAGAGGTGACTACTAACCTCTCATCATAGTCCAGTTTTAATTTCTCAGGTCTGAAGGCACAGCTGTGAAAGTCTGCTGTCTGAAATTCTCAGGACTGTCAGTCATTATGAAAAGTATTATGTTAAATTACCCATGGTGGCTAATGGGTAATGCTTAGCCCTAAAATGACTCAAGTGTACAGAAGGGGGCAAGGAAAGCAAATGTTAAGAATTGCAAACTTTGTAATTAATATTTTCAAAATAAATGGAAAAGATGTGGCCAGGTTTTGACATGGGCTAATATAGAAGAATTGAAAAGGAAGCCATAACAGTATACATACTGTATTTATCCAGAAGTGTGTGTGTGTGTGGGAATCCTCAAATAATCATTTACAACTTATATGTGGAGAAGTTACCTTCTTCAGCTGAGAATATATTAATGCTAAATGAAAGCCTTGCTAAGAAAAGGGTCAGTTTCTTGCAAAGCCCAGCTTGTTTTTTCACATGCAGGGACCAAAAGTGTAGAATGCATGGATCTCAATCAACATAGCCGACGAAAGATCCTTGAAGGAATTCAATATCCTTTTAGCATTACAAGCTATGGGAAGAATTTATTTTACACTGACTGGAGAAGGTATGAGTTACCTGTTTTTGTTTATTTTGTATTACTTACAAAAAAACCTGTGCGTTATTCATAGTCTCCACTCCCCCACCTCCAAGCCCTGTATAAGTGATAAAAGACTTCAAATATTGTTAGGGCAAATCTGTATATTAAAAAAAAAAAAAACTCCTGCATCCACTGCAGGCAGATAACTGAAATATATTTTCTGAGGTGTTTGTGGATATATGTGTTGGTGTTTGTGTGCACTCCAATAGGTTTTGGTGTATTTACGTCTAATTTTTTCTCCTTCTTTCTCCATTATTTTATATTTTATTTATGTCACTATTTTATGTGCCATAGAGATGCCGTGGTCGCAGTGGATCGCACAATCTCTAAAGAGAATGATAACTTTCAACCCTATAAGCGCACTCGTCTTTATGGAATAACAACAGCCTGGGCTCAATGTCCATCAGGTAACTGTGTGAATATGAATATATGTGTGTGTGTGTGTGTTTGTGTGTGTGTGTGTGTATGTACACTGCTCAAAAAAATAAAGGGAACACAAAAATAAGACATCCTAGATCTGAATGAATGAAATATTCTTATTAAATACGTTGTTCATTACATAGTTGAAAGTGCTGACAACAAAATCACGCAAAAATTATCAATGGAAATCAAATTTAGCAACCCATGGAGGTCTGGATTTGGAGTTACACTCAAAATTAAAGTGGAAAATGTAATGTCCTTAAAACAAGTCAAAATGAGGCTCAGTAGTGTGTGTGGCCTTCACGTGCCTGTATGACCTCCCTACAATGCCTGGGCATGCTCCTGATGAGGTGGCAGATGGTCTCCTGAGGGATCTCCTCCCACACCTGGACTAAAGCATCCCCCAACTCCTGGACAGTCTGTGGTGCAACATGGCGTTGGTGGATGGAGCGAGTCATAATGTCCCAGATGTGCTCAATTGGATTCAGGTCTAGAGAACGGGCGGGCCAGTCCATAGCATCAATGCCTTCGTCTTGGAGGAACTGCTGACACACTCCAGCCACATGAGGTCTAGCATTGTCTTGCATTAGGAGGAACCCAGGGCTAACCGCACCAGCATATTGTTGTAGTTCGAAGGAAAGGAGAGGCTAGACCAGGGCATACGGTTAACAATGTTTATTTGATGAACGGTGGTTGTCGCGTCTGCCGGTGATGGGCAGACTGGCGTGCGAACAACGGCTGGCTTGGCTTGACAGCCGGCTTTTTATATGCCGGCTGTCAAACGGCGCCAGCCAATAGGAACGGTTGTTGAATCTGCATAAAGAGCGGACCCGGTTGAAGCCCCAACCGGTTCCCAAGACATAACACCCCTTCCCCCTAGATGGGAACACATATAGTCTTTGAGATACGCCGGTGGTCTGTGTTGGCGACCCGAGCGACGTAACTCAGGAGGGTCATTGGGCGAAGACAAGTTCGCGGACCCCTGGTCCGGGTACGTAGGGGGGCGAATAGGGCTCGGTGCAGGAACTGGAGCCAGGGAAAAGTCTCTGCCTTCGCTGGGGATAAACGGTGGCGCTCCCGGCTGGCAGTCCCGGTCTACTGCCTGCTCCCTCTGCTCCGTTGGAGAAGGTTGGTCCCTCTGGGGATCCCCAGCTGGATCTTGGTGTGGAGCCCGCGGCTCATCTGGTGGAGACGGGTCTGGGCCGGTCAGGCTGCTCCGTCGTCTCCGCAGCTGGTCCAGGTGCCTTCGCCACACACGCCCGTCTTCAAGTTGGACCCGATAAGATCTCGGACCTGTGACGGCCACGACCTTCCCGGCCACCCACAGTGGGTCCCCTGCGTAGTTCCTAGCAAACACTAGGTCCTGAACTGCGAAATTCCTGGCCAGACTGTCGGACCCCAAAGGGGTGTCTGGACAGTAGTGGGGGTGCAGCCTGTCTAAGGCAGTCCTCAGGCGTCTCCCCATCAGCAGCTCAGCCGGGGATTTGTTCGTAACTGTGCACGGTGTGGTATGCTGGCTTAGGAGGAATTGAGACAGTTTAGAATGCCAACCCACTGGGCCGAATCTGGCTAACGCCTCCTTGGCTGATCTGACTGCCCGTTCAGCCAACCCGTTGCTGGCGGGGTGGAAAGGGGCCGTGAGGACGTGTCTGATGCCTAGATTTGTGACATACCTACTAAATTCGTTCGAGGTGAACTGGGGGCCATTATCGGATACCAGTGTGTCAGGGAGTCCGTGAGTTACAAAAAGGTGAGTCAAGGCTTTAACAACTGCCTGTGTGGTGGTCGTGTGAAGTAAGGCCACATCTATCCATTTTGAATAGGCGTCCACGACCACCAAGAAGGTCTTGCCGTGCATTGGCCCGGCCAGGTCGATGTGAAGCCGTGACCACGGGGCATTGGCACTTTCCCACTTTGTGGGTGTGGCGGTTGGCGGGGCTGCCCTAGATTCTTGACAGGGTCGACACGAGCTTACCCACTTGGCGATCTGATCGTCCATCCCGGGCCACCAGACGTAGCTTCGAGCTAACGCCTTCATCCGCACGATTCCTGGATGGCCCTCGTGCAGCATCTTCAAGACGGGTATGCGAAGGGTGGTTGGTATGACCACTCTGGTACCCCACAATAGGCATCCCTGCAACTTAGAGAGCTCTAGCTGGCGAGTTTTAAATGGGGCGAAATCAACTGAATAGTTAGTTTCCGGCCACCCCCTCCCTACCCAGTCCAGAACCTGGGCGATTGTTCTGTCCTTCTTGGAATGTGATGCTATGTCGTCTGCAGTCACCGGCAGCTTGAGTTCGTTTACATCAAAAATGGCATGCACAGGAGCTGGGTCCTCGACTGGGGCTGGCAAGGGGCAGCGGCTGAGGGCATCAGCGTGGTTTAGATTTTTACCGGGACGATAGACCAGTTTGTACGAGTAAGCCGCCAGGAATAAGGTCCATCTGGTCATTCTAGGCGACAATATCTGCGGGGTTTGCTTTTCCCCTGATAATAATCCTAAAAGCGGCTTGTGATCAGTAATAAGTTCGAATTGGTGTCCGAATAGAAATTCGTGGAATTTTTTGACTGCTGCTACTGCAGCCAAGGCCTCCTTATCAACCTGGCTGTAATTACGCTCAGTCGCTGAAAGGGTTCTTGAAAAGAAGGCAATTGGTGCCTCGGAGCCATTGGGGAGCCTGTGACTTAAGACAGCTCCTATCCCAAAAGGGGATGCGTCTGCGGCTAGGACCAAAGGAAGCCGTTGGTCAAATTGTATTAAGACAGCCTCAGAGGTGAGTAGAGATTTGACTGCCACAAATGCTTGGTTTTCTTTGGGTCCCCAGTGCCATGGTGTGTTTCTGTCTAAGAGCCTGTGCAATGGCTCAGCAACTGACGCCTTGTGTGGGAGAAATGAAGCGTAGAAGTTCAATAACCCCAGGAAGGCTTGTAACTCGGTTTTGTTGGTAGGCGTGGGCGCCTCGTGGATGGCCTTGACTTTCGATTCCACCGGGTGGATGCCTGAGGCGTCTAGCCTGTAGCCTAGAAAGTCCACCTGTCTAGTGGCGATGGTACACTTCTCCCGTTTTAGTTTGAGGCCATGCTGCCTGAACTTCTCTAATACTGCCCTGACTCTCTGGATGAGTTGGGGTCTGTCCCTGGCTGTGACTAAGATGTCATCGAAATATGGCACTACGCCGGGGAGACCTTGGAGGATTCGCTCCATCAGTGATTGGAAAATACCTGGGGCTACACTTACGCCAAACTGGAGACGCTTACATCTGAATGCCCCTCTGTGTGTAACTATGGTCTGTAAGTCAGCTGTTTGGTTATCCACGGGGAACTGTTGGTATGCCTGTGACATGTCCAGTTTGGCGAAAATGGTGCCAGGTTCGAATGTGTGTAACAGGTGCTGGATGACTGGGACTGGATATGCGCTAACCTGTAGATAACGGTTGATTGACGTCTTGTAGTCAGCACAAATTCTTAGATTACCGTCTTTTTTTAGCGGGGTGACTATTGGGGTCTCCCACTTAGCGAAATCTGTGGGTTCTATCACCCCTTGTTTTAGTAGTTTGTCTAGTTCCGCGTCCAATTTGGGGCGGATGGCGAAAGGTACTCTACGTGGTTTTAAGCGAACGGGGACTGCCTGTGGGTCTACTGAGAAGGAGATGGGAGTGCCCTTATAGCAGCCTAACTCACTACTAAAAACGGCAGAGAAGTCTGTAAATAAGGAGTCGACATCAGAAGTTGAGACAGCATGGACTCCTTTTATACTAAGGCCGAGAGAGGGGAACCAATCCAACCCCAAAAGACTAGGGAGGGCACCATTAACAACCACTAAAGGCAAATGGCCTTTAAAGGTTTGGAATTTCACGAGAAACTTGCCTTTCCCGAGGACGGGGATGTTCTTTCCTTGGTAGTCTCTCAAGGTGAGATGGCACTTTTGAAGCTGGTTCTTTGTCAGTCTGGGCTGGATCTTCTTAAGCGTGTCCCAAGATATGATTGAGAGCGCTGACCCCGTGTCTACCTCCATGCGGCAGGGATTACCTTCTAGTAAGACAGAAAGTGTAATTTTATTGCGTGTGTAAAGTGTGTGGTTGGCTTGGTAACAAGTATGGCATTTTTCTACTTGCCTTCGGGGAACAGGAGAGGAAAGAGATCTTTGTGGAGAGGTGCGCGCTGCCTGGCAGACTCTTGCGAGGTGACCCTTCTTGTGGCAGTTGTGGCAGGTGGCGTTTCTGAACCTGCAAGATGCCCGGGAATGGGAACCTCCACAGGTCAGGCATAAAAGAGTTTGTTTTGGGCCACTGTTGTTTCTTGGCCTCGCTCCTACCTGCGGCTGTCTCGTTGGCTTGAGGCGATGCACATCAGCGTATTCTGCAGGGTCATCCTCACTTACCGCTTCTTCAGAGTGTACGGAGGAAGTGCTGGGTCTGAAAGCGGTGCCCTGGATCTCAGCTGCGGACTGTGCTTCAAGTTCTGCAGCTAAGGCTTCTTCAACTGCCTGGGGGAGGTTGAGGTCTCTTCTAGCCAGCAAACGCCTCTGGAGTTTTAGATCCCTCACCCCACAGACGAGTTGGTCGAGCAGCATGTCGTCCAAATAGTTTTTGAACTCACATTGTAGAGCTGCTGTCCTCAGGGCTGCCATATATTGATTTATGGATTCCCCCTCGGCTTGCTTCCTCATCCTAAAGGCGAGGCGCCTAGCAATCTGAGACGGTTTTGGTGAGTAGTGGTTGGATAGCGTTTCCACCAGCTCTGCCCATGGGACATTCCCTATTTCTCGTGGGGCCAGGAGTGCTGTGGCAGTGTCATATACTACAGCCCCACAGTAGCTGAGGAAGTAGGATTTCTTCCTCTGCTCTGAAGCTTCAGCCAGTCCAATAGCATCGATAAAGTGGTTGAAGCGATTCTTATATGAATCCCACTTTTCCTCATCAGGTTTGAAAGGGGGGAATACTGAATTGACATTCATTTTGGGTCCCTCAGTCTCTTGGTAGACTGGTCTGCCTCACTGGGTGCTCGTGGTCTTGGATTGATGCTGCTTGAGAGCGCTGGCGGCTGTGGCTACAGTGCCCTAGTCTCACTCAATGACTTCGGCTTTCCTGAGGCGCTTGAATTTTCGCGCTCTTTTGCGAGCGTTAGGCGGCTGTGGCTGCGGTGCTGTACTGACAGCGCTTTAAAATTCGAGCCTTTATTATTATTATTATTATTTTTTTTGGGGGGGGGGAAGCGGATGAAGGCGCTCGCAATTTCACTTGGTGGCTTCTGTAGTGACCTCTATTGTAATTTGCGCCCTTTTTGTAATTGAGGCGGCTGAGGCTCTCAGCGCCGTAGCTTGCTCTAGTGGCTGCAGCTCAATGACAGCCGTTAGAATTTTCGCGCCCTTTTCTGCGCGCGCGCGGGCGGCTGCGGCTTCAGCGCCCGACTCTCACTATCTGTGGTGCTCTAACCTTTGTAACTTTTACTGACAGCACCCAGCCTTCGCTAACCGTGGCAGATCTAACCTGAGCGGCTCTAGCACTTTCACTTCTGAGCCCGATGCTCGGTAATCCAAGCAGCTGCGGCTTCCGTTCCTTGAGGAAATGCTCCTGACTAGCCTTCCGATCCCATCCTCGTCGCCAGTGTTGTAGTTCGAAGGAAAGGAGAGGCTAGACCAGGGCATACAGTTAACAATGTTTATTTGATGAACGGTGGTTGTCGCGTCTGCCGGTGATGGGCAGACTGGCGTGCGAACAACGGCTGGCTTGGCTTGACAGCCGGCTTTTTATATGCCGGCTGTCAAACGGCGCCAGCCAATAGGAACGGTTGTTGAATCTGCATAAAGAGCGGACCCGGTTGGAGCCCCAACCGGTTCCCAAGACATAACACATATGGTCTCACAAGGGGTCTGAGGATCTCATCTCGGTACCTAATGGCAGTCAGGCTACCTCTGGTGAGCACATGGAGAGCTGTGTGGCCCCCTAAAGAAATGCCACCCCACACCATTACTGACCCGCTGCCAAACCGGTCATGCTGGAGGACGTTGCAGGCAGCAGAACGTTCTCCACAGCGTCTCCAGACCCTGTCACGTCTGTCACATGTGCTCAGTGTGAACCTGCTTTCATCTGTGAAGAGCACAGGGCACCAGTGGCGAATTTGCCAATCTTGGTGTTCTCTGGCAAATGCCAAACATCCTGCACGATGTTGGGCTGTAAGCACAACCCCCACCTGTGGATGTCGGGCCCTCTTACCACCCTCATGGAGTCTGTTTCTGACCGTTTGAGCAGCCACATGCACATTTGTGGCCCGCTGGAGGTCATTTTGCAGGACTCTGGAAGTGGTCCTCCTGTCCCTCCTTACACAAAGGCGGAGGTAGCGGTCCTGATGCTGGATTGTTGCCCTCCTACGGCCTCCTCCACATCTCCTGATGAACTGGCCTGTCTCCTGGTAGCGCCTCCATGCTCTGGACACTACACTGACAGACACAGCAAACCTTCTTGCCACAGCTCACATTGATGTGCTATCCTGGATGAGCTGTACTATCTGAGCACTTGTGTGGGTTGTAGACTCCGTCTCATGATACCACTAGAGTGAAAGCACCGCCAGCAAAAGTGACCAAACCATCAGCCAGAAAGCATAGGAACTGAGAAGTGGTCTGTGGTCACCACCTGCAGAACCACTCCTTTATTGGGGATGTCTTGCTAACTGCCTATGCTTTCCACCTGTTGTCTATTCCATTTGCACAACAGCATGTGAAATTGATTGTCAATCAGTGTTGCTACCTAAGTGGACAGTTTGATTTCACAGAAGTGTGATTGACTTGGAGTTACATTGTGTTGTTTAAGTGTTCCCTTTATTTTTTTGAGCAGTGTATGTATGTGTATATGTATATATAACAGGCTGAAATATGAAAGAAGATATACCATGGATTTCAGAAAATTCTCTGGAGAAATTCCACTGCCAATAAAAATCAGCCTAATTCCTAATAGTACAAATTTAATTAACTTAATTGCATTTCTTTCTTTCGATTGCTTTAGGAGAGCTAAAACTAACAGAAAATATTAGCTTTTCCTGCTTGGTAATATATTTTAGTACAGTACCCTTTATAAATTAATTCAGTTTTCATGACTGAACAGTGTCATAAAGAATTTAGCCCTAACAAGAATAAAAAGCTTTTGGCATGCTTTCTGCTGAAATTAGAAGCAAAGAAAGATCTTAAATTATTCCTTGCTTATCCCACTGTGTTTCCCCCCAAATAAGACCAGGTCTATATTAATTTTTGCTCCAAAAGACACATTAATGCTTATTTTCCAGTTAGGCCTTATTTTGGGGAAAATATGGCACTAATGCATCAGTGTGCCTGATGGTCTTACAGTAACTGGGGCTTATTTTGGGATAGGGTTTATATTACGAGCATCCTGAAGAATCATGCTTAGCCTTATTTTCCAATTGGATCTTATTTTCAGTGAAACGCTATTTCTTACCTTGTTTGTGCAATTGTTAAAAACAGGCAAAAGAGCTAAAATAGAAGGTGGGTAGAATAAAGTAAAGCATTATAGAAGCAAATACAAAGCTCTTGGTTAATATTTGGGAAATTTGAGTATTGGTTACAGCTTGTGTGACAAAAATGCCCTTTCAGAGCTGACTAATAGTGTTTTGGCAAGTATTATTCAAGAACTCTGAGAAAAATTCTAGGAAGGAACTACCCCAGCTAGTTATCTTTCCCTGTGATATTGGCTCACTAATGAAATATACAGATTTTCCAATCCATTATTATTATAGTTTGCCACACAGTCTGCGAGATATTTAGACTGGATTCTCTGCAAGAAGCAAGGTCCTCACTTTTGTACGCAAGAGGGGGACAGTAAAGGAAGGAATGCATGATTCATCCCAAGGTACCTCGTGGCTTACATATCCAAGCTGATCTAATATTCGTTTTGCCAAAAAATGTTTAAAGGTGGAGGTTTGTTCTCCCAGGTACGGGTTGGTTTCCGAACAATTTGTTACCAGGCTAGGTAACAACTTCAGTGGAATTTAGGGGATACCAGTGTCAGTGTTCCTCTGTTTATAAGGGCCTAAACTCCACTGAAGTTGTTACCTAGCTAGCCTGGTAATGAAACATTCAGAAACAAACCGAAACAAGTTCCGAGAATGAACCTCCATCCGAGCTACAGACATTTGCCACCACTTAATAAATTAATAAATGAAGCACTTGGATTCCTTAAGCTGGTACATATATTTTGCAGGACGTAACTACTGTTCCGTGAATAATGGAGGCTGTACTCATCTATGTCTGGCTACCCCAGGAGGCCGTTCTTGCCGATGCCCAGATAACATCATTGGAGTGGACTGTATAGAAAGGAACTGAAAACTGTAGCTCCCACCCTGGGGAACTACACTGCCACTAAGTAAGCAGCAAGTTTCCTTAAGCTAATGGAAAGATTCCTAAGATAATCATTGCTCTCTCCCTTGGGGCTGGAAGCACACTGCAGTCAAATATTGGCACTTCTCTGCAGCCACTTGTTATACATTCCTTTTTTAAAAGAAACAAAAGAACACAAAATATAACAACTACCTGTAACTGTGCCAGTTAAATAAATCCGCCTAAACCATTTATTGTATGAATTATGGTAACAGGATGTTACAAAGCACAAGAGAATCAAATATGAAACATCCATGTACGGAGTCATACTTTGGCAATTCATGTATAACTTATAACTAGTACAACTGAATGCTGGGCAGTAAAACACCATGAAGGAATTTAATGAAATGACTTGAAGCCCAAAATGTAGGCATTTATTTGTAATGATAATCAGCTACCTAAGCCAAAGAATCTCATGTTTTTATGCCAAATATCTTGAGTACAATCAGTTTTCCACAGAACCCTTGAGAATACAAATAATATTAGATGCTCTATTAAGAAGGATTAAAGCAGGGTGATATTAAAAATTAGTGACTTCTCAGTACAATTCTCTTAATGCTATCTTTTCCCCAACTTAATTTTCTAGAAAGCAATTGGGGAAGTAAAAGGATATATATGAATTATTTGTCTAATTTCAGTGGAAGAATAAACACCCTTTAGCAAACGATTGCAAATTCCTTTGCTCTTTGGTATGGCCTTGTGGATATCTGCATTAAGCAGCAAAAGGTGTAAACAGTGGGAAAAACGATTTCAGAAAATTTGCCAAATACATAAATTTTATATCTATTTTTTCTAGTAGAGGTAGTCCTTGTTTAGCAACTGTCTTGGATAGCAATTGTCCATAGATATCATAGTAATAAATGGTAATTAAAATCATTTTCCAAACAATGCGTGCATTTATGACAAAAAAAGTGTAGAAACTGATTAAAATCTGGTCAGTTTCAGCCAGCATTGGAGGAAATGAACTTAAGTTGAGGTTAGCACTTTTTAGGGAAGTACTGGGCTACGGAGGAAAGCAACTCACTAATAGCTTGTTTAAGCAATTTCCCTGCAAGAGGGAAAAGAAGAAGACAATCAGGCACAGGACACTGTATGAGGCAACCTTTCTGAAGGAGAAGGCAGTGATCTTTGCAGTGTCTCTCTCTTCTTTCTGTTGTATGTCCCCTTATTGTTCATTTGACTTAGCAACTGAGTGGTTGGAACCTATTGCAGTCACTAAATGAGGACTACTTGTAGTTTCTTTGTGTCCAATTTAGATGTGCTTTTTAATTACATATGGCAAGGGCAATTGCTATTGTGAATTATTTTCTTTAGTCATTGTGTTTATTCTATGATTTCCTTGAAATTAAGAAAAAAAGGAGTTGATTTTCTGTGCCACTTGCTAGCATCCAATTTAACAAGGTAGAGTCTTATAACCCACAGATTATTTCCAAATGGTTTAGGAAGGTTTGCTTCTGTGGTAAAGTATATCTACAGCCCAACAAGCAAATAAAATTTGTCAAGATAGCTGTTTTAAAGGGCAGCAATTTATTTTTTTAAGAAAATAAAATATGCATCAGAAATCATAGCTCACCAGACTTCCATGTAAGGAAAGCAGAGCCAATATTAAGTCTCTGATTACATTTTCATGTTATATTTATCATTGCAATATAAAATACTATATTAAATGTTTAAATTTGATATAACTTTTGTATAACTTTAATACATTTAATTTTTTTTCATTCTGTTAGAAATATCTGAAACTGTAAATCAAACAGAAAAAAACTGCTGAAACAAACAAGGTGCTTCTTAAAAAAACAGTAACCAGTGTTATTTCAAGTTCAGGTGACAAAGAAAGTTTACACTGTAATCAAATAATTTTCACACTGCCAATAAAATAATTTTTGTAAAAAAACATTGCCTTTGAAGTACAATACTACGTCTGATATTCTTTTTTTATAAAAAAGATTTAGATCTATTTTTTCAACTCACTATTATTTTTGTTTCCATATTGTTGAGATCTGTCTCTGTTTTTAAATTTCTAGCAATCCTATGTACAAACAGAAAGTTTCTTTAACAAGAGATTTATATACTGCAGTTAGTCCTCAACCTACAGCAGTTCTCTTAGTGACTGGTCAAAGTTACAACAGTACTGAAAAAATTACTTCTGACTACTTTTCACACTTACAACCCTTGCAGCATCCCCATAGTTTCATGATCAAAATTCAGACATTTGGCAACTGACTTATATTTATGATGGTTACAGTGTCCCATGGTCATATGATCACATTTTGTGACCTTTTGACATGCAAGTCAATGGGGAAGTCAGATTCATTTAACAACAGTGTCACTAATTTAACAACTGCAGCAATTCACTTAACAACTGTGGCAAGAAAGCTCATCAAATGGGCAAAATCTCACTTAGCAACAGGATTTTTGGACTCAGTTGTGATCATAAGTTGAGAACTATCTGTATGCTGTTTGAAAATGTCACCTGGTGTATAAAGTATTTGTTGCAGGTCCTGCTGGCAGCTACTTTTTGGTATAGTTTACCTTGCCATCAAGTATAGCAGATACATACAGTAGATAGATGGAAGCAAAAAAACCCCAATTGCACATAAAATATAGGTTTTAAGATATAATTGACAAGATGTGCAAACAGTTAAGCTATAGAGCAAGGATGTCAAACTGGCAGTGTCACGTTGCCATCGTGTGACATTTTGTGATCCTTTTTTCCCTTCACGGACCTGAGGTGAGTGTGGCCTGCACATAATGCATCCGGCCTGCGGGCCACCAATATGACACCCTTGCTGTAGAGAAAGAACAATAAATATATTCCTCCTGTCTTTAATTGTTTTTTTTTTAAATCATGTGTGAGGTTTTTATGGGCTCTGCAGTGCTCTATGAGCAGATCTGGCCCTACTGGTAGGCCTAATTAGGCAGATAACTCAGGCAGAAGATGCTATGGGATTGAATTAAAGTGCTATCTATCCCATATGGCCTTCCCAACGCCTTTTAAGCTAGGCTACTGGAGGGCAATTTCTGAGAAACTCTCACAACTTTGCTATTACCAGTATAGATTATGGTTATGGTACAAAAAGTAGATTTCCAAGCAATTCTACACAGGGAGAGGAAGATCTTAAATCGCCTAATAGCAGATGTTCATCAAGGTGTATTGATCACATTAAACCCTTACAAACAGTTTGTGAGCACTTATTGCTCCTTTGAAAGAGAGCATTACCTGTAAAACAGTGAAAAGAAGTTAGATAGATTTAACGAATTGGAAGGGACCTTGTAGGTCATCTCCTTCTTCAGCAGGGAGTAAAAATAAAACTGTTTCCTTGAGCTCTGTGAAAATTCATTTTTCCTCACTTTCTGAAAAGGGATCCCCTGAGGAAATTAAATATCAAAAAGCTGAAAAGGTGATTTCTTACTACCAGTTGCTGGGAGGTGCAGCCAAATGCTATTGCAAGTATTTTACTTATAGGCTTTCCAGAAGCATTTACTTGGCTAATGAGAACATGATGGTGGAGTAGACTGGCCTTTGCTCAGGACACTTCTTACGATTGGAGAAGCACAAACCATCCTGTCACCGAGTTCAAGATCATGAAGAATCTCAATTTCCTTTGTAGAACTATCCTAACATATGACATCTGCTTTCTTGGGATTTCTCTGATTGTATAATTTTGCCCCAATACATTTGACATCAACTTGATAGAATGACAAGAGATTATGAACTGATAAAAAGATAAAATCGTCTCTCAATAAGAGAGGTAAAGGTATAAGGTTTCCCCCTGTCCAGTTGTGTCTGACTCCAGGAGGCAGTGCTTATCTCCTTCCTTAGCCAAGGGAGTCAGCGTTGACCAAAGACATTTCCAAGAGTATACAGTAATACTTAACCAGGTTCAGGTTTAATCTAGGATTGTATGTTATATATTTGAAGATAACCTGCCTCACATCCAGAAGTTCAATGTTTCTGTCTGCCTGGAATGTCCATTGCCATTCCTTAATCCTCTCTAAAAGTTCCTGCAATATTGATTGTACAATTTGCGTACAGCTTGTGCACAGAGAGAAATGGAACTAGACTCAATTTTAGTGTAAGACTAAAGTTTTGTGTTGTAAGACACAAATGTTTTTAATAGGAAATATCCCCTTTTATATAAAACAAGGTTATTAGTTCAATTTATATAGCCACACACCTCACACTCATAACTCTAGATGGCTAACAACAATTAAAAAAAAAAAAAAACACATAAAGCCGCACAAACAGAATAAATAGCCAAAATAAAAACAGAATGGAACCACCACCAACAAATCAAATAACCGTTTCTCACAGTCTGTACCATATATGTAGATCTCCAAACCCCATGACAAAACCATGTCTTTAAGGCCTTGAAAAAGGCCAGCAGTGTTCTCCAGTCCCCAGTCAAATCTAATATCCAGGTAGATGATGTTCCAAAGGACAACATTATGTCAGAAAAAGTTCTCTACCTTGGGTCTTGTCAGATGGATGGAAAAGCATTCGTCTCCTACTAGACTTGATGGGATGGGTAAGTACAGCTGGTCTCTTGCAATGAAGGACTTTTAGAATTACAACCAAGATCTTGACCTGCATGCAGAAGCAAACTGGCAACCAAAGCAGTTCACGGAGCAGAGGTGTAACATGCACACCCAGGAGTGCACATAATTGCTACATTCTGTAGCATTTGTAACTTCCGTGTTCTCTTCAAGGCCAGCCCCATTTTAAGACACATTGCAGTAGTCCATTTAAAGCCTTCCTGCTTGTCTCCCATGTTTTAAGACTTGCTCTTCTTGCTATTAACTTAGATCGGGGTCCCCATACTTGGCATCTTTAAGACTTTGGGTGTTGAAGTCCACAAGTGTTAAAGTTGCCAAGTTTGGAGGCTTCTGACTTAGATGAAAGGATTGCTGCGGTTCAACAGTCTTCTTTTCTTTCCTTTGCTTCATTTTCTATTTTACTCTTGTTCTAATGCTTTCATGTCTCATTTATAAAGAAATATTTAGACACACACACAACTCTGCATCTCTTTTGCAGAGGCAGCATTTCTCACTTTTCTTTTTATTTTGTTCCTATTTGTCTATCGCTCTTCACTAATACTAACACTGTATTTCCAAAAGCAAGTGTAAACTTACTGGCTGCCTTTTATTTGCTGAGGTTTCATCACATCTACCATTAGAGGGCACTGTAGTTCTAGAAATTAAAACAGCCTCTCTTTTTTTTTTCCTATCAACTTTGTTTATAATTACTATTCTTATATAAATAATGTCTTAATTTGTCTCTCACTGGCCCCTTTCTTGTTTTTATCCTTTCTGTTGCTGCATGTAGATTTCCAGAGGATTATATGAGAATGACAAAATGACTGTTTTGGCTAGAAAAGAGAAGAAAGGAAAATAGTCAAGAGAACAAATGAGATTGGCTAATTATTATACTGTATGTGACAACTTATATAAGTTACATTTCCATGATGCACATGATCTCGTTGTACATTGTTAGGAACCAATAACTTATCTTGTATACTGGTGGGCATGGCTTGTATGTAAATATTATAAATATTTATGTAAATATTGAGTTTTTTATTTAAAAAAGAGCAACTTTTACCCAAAAGCAGGCAAAGCAGGCAGGCAGATTGAGTTGCTCGCAGAATCACAGATTAATTTAGAGATCTATCTATCTGCAATCGGCTGCCTGAGTCTGCATTGAAAAGCTTCAGTCCTGAGGAAGGTTTGGCTTTGCTTTTAGATTAGCTAGAAAGCAAGAAATCCAAGGATTTCAAATTCCAAGGATTTCCTGTTTTCTAGCTAATCTAAATCTCCTGGCAGAGCAGAACAGTTAATGGTCAGGGGATAAAAAGGAAAAATAGCAACTTACCAAACCAGGCAAGTTGGATGGCTCACATGCCAGGTAAGGAGTGAGTGGGCGGGGAGGGGAAGGACCAGCCAATGGAGCGATTTGCCAGTTCTCCGAACTGGGGACAATCGTGTGTGCAGCGTTTGCAAGAAATCATCAGCTGTGCCGCCTGGACAGCTGATAAGCACTGCGCTCTGGTGCAAAGCATTTGAAAGTCCTCGTTTCCTGCTTTTTCAACCTCAGCTGTGCTGTGCAAAGCAGCTGAGGAGGGAAAAGCAGGGAATAAAGGACAGCCTAGAGCCTGGGCAGGTGGGTGGGTGAAACACTGGTTCGGTGTCGCCTGCTCTTCACAACTACAGGTTCTATAGAACTGGGCCGAACCAGTAGCATCCCACCTCTGGCTGCCATTTTTTTTGTCATCCCAGCTCCTGCAGGGGCAGGTAAGTACCTGCAATGTACAAAGAATGGCAATCCATCACATCATAGCAGTGACTAGGTGATTTTTAAGCCTTCACTGTCAGCTGTCCAGGTTCCCACTGTGGATGGACACAGGCTCTGCTTCGCCAAATATTAATTGATTGATTGATTTAATTTATGTGCTATGTTCCTGTGAGTTGACCCTTTTCACTTTTAACGTACAAGTTTGCACAAGAAAAATACTCTGATCTTTCTACGCTTTTGGTATGTGAAAGAAAAGGTGAGGACAGAAACAGCCCATCACTCTGGTGCAACATTTAATTTCATATGGAATTTCCAGTTTTTCAGGAAATATTGTAAGAATAAAGATCATTGCTCTTTAGCTTAAACTTGCTTAAATTTACTTTCAATCACTTGTGGAAAATCCTGCTTCTAAAAAAACAAAAGAAAGTACTTCCTTGTGAGTATGGTATGTTTTGGAAATGGTTGACATGAAGAAATAAATACTATTCCATCACAATAAAGCAGATCATTGTTAAGAGATGACAGAGCTAAATTCATTTTTCTCTAATCAAACAAGACTCTAAAGTCAAAGGGTTTGGCTAGACATGCTCTGGCATGCCATAGCA